AATTAATCGCTCAGCAAAATTTGTTATCGTGACAGGCCTAATTCAGACATACATTTGATGTTTTAGGTCACATGCTTATATAACCTATATTGTTTATTAGGATGTATCCCACCCCCAAGGCCAGAGGTACTGAAAGGCTCTCAGTCGTTGGCAGGGGATTTATCTGGATGCACATAACACACAGACACACGTTCTGCATTGCTCAGCAAACAGATGTTCACTTCTAAGGCCTTACGCAACATCACGGGTGTGCTTACTACGACAGAGCAGGGCAGCTGGGACAGAGATCCAATGGGAACAAAGCTTCAGTCATGGCTACATCTAAATCCCACAGGGCTGGACGATGTGGCTGAAAAACGGACCACGATGTACAAGTCGATATCGATAATTATTGCTTTTGTTTGTTTGTTTTAAATATCTAAAATACTGCCAAACTGATGAAGAAACCTTTACAGTTTTCACTCCATGCCTTTTCATTTTTAAGCAGTTATGAGGCAAGGTGGGAAAACATGAAACTACTGCTGCTCAAGATATGCAACAAGTTGTTGCTAGGTAACCAAAGAGAGAGTGAGTAGCTGATGCCACCCACCTTGCTTAGCTAGCCATGAGAGGTTGAATGGCTAATGCCTTTCTTCTGCCTCCCAGAATGCTGTGCGGTTCTGAACCGGAGGTCAGTCAATATTCTATATGTTGAAAATTCTATCAAACGCATAATTTATCGATACTGATCACATGTCTATTGCGATATATATTGTTAATGATTTATCATCCAGCCCAGTCAGACTATTTCGTAATGTGACAACCACAAACAGGTGGAAGAATCAGTTGTTAGGAAAACGCTGACTCATGTACTCTGTACTGGAAGACTGCGAGAAGAAAAAAAACTTTAACTGAAAGTCAAAAAAAGCAAAGGACACAACAGAAACATGGTGACTTTTTGAGCCTACTTCCAAAACTAACCTCACCAATTTTCCCTGAACACATCATCCCTTCAGTCAAACATGGTGATGGCAGCATCATGTCTGTGAGAAGAATTTCTTCAGCACTGACAGGGAAGATAGTTAAAGTTGATGATAGGAAGATGGATGGAGCTAAATATCAGGCAATCCTCAAAGGAAAATCTGCTAGAAGGCCTGGAACAGCTGCTTCTCTTCTGGTGGTTTTGTATTTGCACCGTCTTACTTTCTTTTCACAATTATTACACACTTCTTTGTGGTGATGCGAAATTTGTTGTTGTGTAGCAATATGTGAGAATATTCTGTAGCATTGTGTGGTACATATACTTTCTATGGTTCACTTTTTACCACAATTAATAACTTTAGTTCCTAATGTGACACACATAAAGATGATATGTGAAATTATATTTTTGGAAATAAGGATAAGGAAAAGTAGCTGGACTTATTTTCAATCTGGTTGAGTCTTGGTAACTTCCTCTTAGTGCACCCTGCAGGGGAATTCACCCAACGCCCACCTTTCCAGTAATCTGTTCTACATCAGTAAGCTCAACCCAAACATATTTCTTGTCACAGTCACCCATCTGTTGTTTTGTTTATAATTATTTACTTCAATTGGGGGGGAATTATGCAGTTTTTTTGGCTTTTGTTTTCACACAGAAAGCTGCAGGCTGATTTGCATGAAAACTCTACCAGAGATAAGCCTAGTGAACCATCTGTACAAGGCATGGAAAAAAAGAATATTTTGAATAATATGCGTTTAAAATCTATATTTACCCTTATGTTATCTTATTAAAAAGTCTTTTTTGGTCTCAAATTATATTTTTTTGCCCCTTGTTTATTGAGAAACAATGTTTATTGAGAAATGTTTTTCCATTGTTTCTGTTTATCATTATAATATTTTTAAAAAATTTTTGGACACCTATAAAACTTTATCCAAATTCTATAATAGGTTTTACCAAAATAACTCAAAAGGGAGAAGCACAAAAACACCAAAAAGTTCAGAAGTTTGATGATGTATCATAATCAAATAATAATAAGAGGAATCGGTGTTGGTATCAGCGATGCTGGCCCTCTATTTACTTGGTGTCGGATCAATATGAAAAAATGCGGCATCACACATCTCTAATAGATAAGTCTAAACCCAAATCTAATTGTTAAAGATAAGCAAGTTATCCTCAACAATATTCCTGATACATTTTATAAAGAGTTTCAAGCTGTCCTGATACTGATATTGGATATTGCTATGATGTCTGCCAGAAAACAAGTATCAGATTATATCAGCTTGCATCTTAAAATCTCAGATATAAGCACTGCGCTCCAAGATTTAGACCAAAGCATTTTCTACCATTCCACACTACAAAATAAGTGGCACGAGTATGTATCATTTGTGCTGATATCGCACTGGATCCATATTGGTATCGGCTAATACTCAAAGCTCCAATATCTGTATCGTATCAGAAGTGAAAATGTTTTATTGGGACACCCCTAAAAGAACCAATCACAGCTCCTGGATCAGCTTCTGTTCAATGTTTTTTCACCAACCCTGATTTTTTTTTTGTTCGGTCTTAGTTGTAGTTAACATGGATTAACTGGCTGTGAGGAGTGTTGCTAATGATCGGCTCATTCATTGATATACTGACTGTACCAAGACAGCAAACCTGCTGACACACCATCGTCACCGACTGTGCCTATCTGACCTTAAAGCGACCGGTGACCACTGAGTCACCAGGAGGAGAGCGGTTGGTTCCCCTTTCGTCTCAAATTTGTGGCTGTAATTGAGGGACAGGTTGAAAGCAGGATGTTGGTATAAAAAAGATTTGTATTCACCTTTACCACTATAAATTTCAGTGTATTTTACAGACTTCTCTGTCAATGGTGAGGAAATGCATCGCCACAGCATGACGGTGCCACCGCCATGTTTCACCATAGGGATGGTGAAATGTGGTGATGGGTTTTCATCATTCAAGCTCAGTTTGTTAACTAAACCAGGGTTTTCAACTCTTCCAGTTTCATCCTTGACCTTGGTGTTCATGAATGTTCTCCAACAAACCTTTGAGACCTTTGCAGAACCAACTACGAATTCACTCACAAGTTTTCCGCAAATCTGACCAATCACCTTAAAGTTAATCTGTATTTCCTTCTTTTCTGACCAATCACTGTCACTCGGCTGAATTTTGAGTCGATTCCCAGCAGCCACCTTCTAATTTAACTTCCAGTTTCATGCTTTTCCTTTTTTTAGATCTTCTGTAGGATTTATGTGTTTACAGTTCATGTTAGCTCAACTGACCAATATGAAATTCTTCTTTTGCACTTTGACAACTCCTCAGGACACGATTTTATTTGTATGATTTTAAGAAGGCACTTGAAAATGTTACTTAACACATAAAATGTTAAAATACTCTTTTTTTTTGGAAGTCAGTCCAACTTTTTTGTAAGACAATGTTATGGCAAAAACTAAACCTTTAAAAAAAATTGCAACTTTAACAGCAACTTTTTTTTTTAAAGTTGCCACAAAATCAGTCATTTTTAAGCCACAACAATCAAACAAACAAACAAAAAAACATGGCAATATCCTGGAAGGACTGCTTAGGCACTACTTTATCAACCATACAAAGTCCAAATTAAATACTGTAGAAATATGTTGTATGCTCTTGGAAGGGACTGCACACCAACTGTCCAGCCATCCCTCCTTTATAAGATAACATGTTATGTTATGATAAAAATACCTTGTAGCTTTGGGATCATGAAACTCTGAGTTAATCCCTGGATTTGGGACGAGCATTAATCCCCTTCCTGCATGCTCTCCACATGGCTTGGCTATTGGAAGGCAAACATTTTGAAGAACCCTCCAGTATCTTACTGGAAGTGGGTGATGTTTCTAGAAGTTTTTGGGTGTATGTGTGTGTGGGGGGATTGCCTTGGGCCTGAGTGAGGAAGTGGTGGATGTCCTCAGAGTTGGTTTTGTGTATCTGAGAGGAGGGAGGGTGTGTCTGCAGGGCCCTGATGCAGCATCGGGAGATTTGACAGCTGTGTTTATGTCCCACAACAAACTATTGCAGCCAGTAAAAAAAAGAGCAGTGGGAAAGAAACAAACACCCCGATAGGCTCAGTGAGCAGAAAAACAGATGAAGAAGAAGACGAAGACGAAGCACATTAGCTGCTACACACAGACAACTATTACATACTTCGCAGTTGAACTTACTCGTTTTTGACGTATCTACTCTCGTGAAATAGTTTATCCAGCTGAATCACAGCCTGACCGAGGAACACGTCCAGTCCTATCAGCGCCCGGTGCATCACGGTCAGGACTAGCTCGTTGCTCCCGGCCGGGTATCCGCTCCGCTCGGCGTTCTCCAGCACACCGGGCAGCAGCTCGAACGAGCACTCCTCCCTCCACTCGGGCTCGGTGGTCTTCTCCGCCACGCCGGTGGAGTACTTCTCCTTCCCCATCTGGATGATGGTGTACACATCGCTGGTGCCGTGTTTGCCCTTGCCCCGCAAGCCCCTGCCTTTGAGCACCGTCACCTGGACGTGCGTCGGTACCCACCTCTGGTCCTCCTCTACGGTTAGTGAGGACATGTCCCCCACCTTTCCAGACAGAGACCGAGCGCGCGCACCGCGGTAGTAGAGGAGGTGGTGGCGTCCGTCCGCCGCTTCCTCCCAGCTGCTCCGAGCGGGCACGCGGTCACATCAGCGCCGGGGTCCGCGGGCGGTGCCGCATTGTTACTATTGTTGTTATGGCCGCCTTCACCGTCCCCCCTCCCCGTGAAGTTGCCTCGGTTTGTTTTGAGCCTCGACCGCTGCTCCGTCTGCTCTGCGGCAGCATGCAGCGTCCGTCTCCGCCTCGCTCCCCCTTGCTGTATGGGCCTGTCTGCGGACAGCGACGTCACGCCTCCTCCATCCTCCGTCTGCAGGACGAGGAAGTTCAAGCAGCTTCTCAGCACATGGCTGCAAGCGCACACACAGACCACAATAACACGCCTGTGTGCTGGAACGCCGGATGTGAGATTTCCTTTCGTTCTATTATTTAACAAAATTAGCACTTTGAAAGTAAAAACGTGTCACGCACCCGGAAAAAAGAGAAACCCTCTGTTAAAAAAAGAAAAAAAAGAAAAAAAAAACCTTCGAGATGCAAAGGCAACCAGAACTAGCTGACTAAATTTAAAGTGAACACAAATTTTCTGTATTATATAATGTTTCAAAAATAAGGCTGTAACTAATGTTTGCTTTTGTAATCTATTGTTCTATCTGATAACAAAAATGACCACATTCTAAAGATTTTTTATTTTACCATTTTTTGCAAAAGTATATTAGATGCAAACAAACAATACAATTCCCTTTATAAACAAGAAAAGTAAGCATTTAATTGTTAAAACTATGTCACTTGAGGAGTTTTGAATAAAACATATTTACAGACAAAGGTGTTTTTATCTTATATGCAAATTTTTTGTTTATTTTGTACAGTTGTGGCTTAGTTACTGCACTGAATAGTTTTTCAGAAAACTCCCTTCTTTGAGTCTGTAATTGATACTGCAATTAGCGATTAATCATTACTAAATTAGTTGACGATTCATCCCAAGTCATAAAAGTTAATTTGATTAGTTGTTTCAGCTCTAGTTCAAAACGAAACTTAACACAACACTTTTAAGTAGGGTTGTGCCATACTGGGAATTTCAATCATCAATCTGATACCAAGTCAATACAGGACTATTATCATCGATACCAATACCGATACCGATATTTATACTTTTTTCTTTGAATGTCATTATTATGGAATAATTTGGTGGTTTGAATTAATTTAGTTGATTTTAATCAAATACAAGACAACGATTTTAGGCAAATAAGTGTTTTTTATTAACTAACTACAACATAAAACAATGTAGCATTATAGAAAATTACTTTATTAGCTTCTACTACACACATCTTCTACCACACCCAACACATTAGAATGAGATGTTAAGATACCCATGATGGTGGGATAATTTTCAGCTGAAAGCTACGGAGATACAAATAACCCATTGACCTCATGTCTTATGTAAAATCAGCTTTTTTGGGCTTTACATAATGTTATTTCCTCATCAAAAACATACATGGAGTGTTGTCTTGATTATTTTATGCATGTTTGAGAAATCCTTTATTATTCGGTGGCTCCTTCAGACTAGCCAGCAGCAGTTAGCAAACACCTGGCGGAACGCATCAGCAGAGCTCATTATACAAACTACTTTTCAGTGCAACTCTGGTAAAAACGTGCAAGGGTTAATAGAGGAGCCATGTTGTGGTGATTTCCTGAAGGCGGCACTTCTTAAAGAGACAGAGGCCCAATTTCAAGGGGTTAAATTACAAATTCCAATTTCTTTCAACTCGTACTTGATATATATGTATTATTTCTATAAAAACTGAAGTTAACAATTAGTTAATTGTGCTATAAATGTGTCTGGAAAATACAATACTGCCCCCTTAAAGCAATAGAAAACATTTTCAGGTTGCCACTGGATACCCCTGCCACCATCTGCCAATAGTGGCAACATCAATGCCACTACTGATGTTGCTTAATATCCTGTTTTCCTGAGATGTTGAATTATGGCTTTTTGTTGACTGTAATCAAATATGACCAAGTCTTAAAATATTTCCCTCTACTGTATGTTTAAAAAATCTATGGAATACATGAGTGTCACTTTCTGACACCAGTGACAAAAAAATATTGACCTTTTCAGCCGACTTTTTAAAAAAATTTTTAGCTGTGCCTATATAATAGCAAATTAGTTTAGCCACAGGAAATCTACCGGTGGATGATAAATGAACATTTCAGCTGCACAGAAAAAACTTCTAAGAATGATTGAGTTCCAAAAGCCTGCAGACAACAGTCAAAAATCTTTGCAGCCATATAAATTTTCTAATGTTTAAATCAATATTTTTGTTGTTTGTGTTGTCATTATATATGCATATGTTGTTTGTTGTGGTGGTTTCTCAGGGGGGTGGGGGAGTCTCTCTTTTCTGCAGGTTTAGAAGCAGATGTTTACCGTGTTGACTTATGTTCTCTCAATGCTTCTTTCTCTTCTTCTTTCCCTTTAAAGCTTTTCCCACCTTTCTCTCTTTCTTTTGTTTTTTTTTTCTTTTCCATCTCGGTGTCCATTTGAAATAAACCAAAGCAAAATTTCTAATAAAGTTTCAGACATAGATCAAGTGGAGCATATGGTAGAAACCAGCCCTGCACACAGTGAAAGGTAAGAAATCTTTTCGCACTTAAAAATATTTAGTGCGTGTTGACAATAAAACCACAGCTCCATGACATCCTCCCGAGCTCTTAGAACCGTAGGACTGACTAGAACTTGCAAAATGATCCGTGTTTAGCCAACAAGTATTTATTTGTATGGGATGTGTGTGCAGTTAATCTTCTTGGCCTCCTTCGAGGTTTTGTTTTTGTTCCTCCCCCGCCCCCCCACTCTTGCCCCTCTTCACCCCTGAGAGCCTGTTTGCCTCACACCAGCTGTCATGGTGAAGGAGTTCCCAGCTGACTTGGCAGCTTCAGTCTGTCTCCTCCTGCGGCAGAGCGAGGCCTCGTACGACGCAGGGCAACGCGAGGATTTGTCTCACCGAGTTGTTTCAGGATGAAGTACCACTGATTGTTTTTCTAATAAGGTTAAAAGATCTTATTGTTGTGCCGATTTGAGCTATCTAAATGCGCAGTCTTTTCCACTGGATAAACTGGTGCTTAGTTCATCCCCTACCTCCAGATTTTATGGAGCAACCTTATTCCAAAATGGATTAAATTCAGTTTCTTTCTGAAGAACTGAACACCAGTGGTGTCAAACAGTCAGTAGTCTAGAGACTCTCTGGTGAGGCCGGCTCCAACCCAAACCCTTGTCCAGTCAACCCATTGTAGCAAAGTCACATTATATAAGATGCAGTCAACTTTATGGCCAAAGCTTTATGTTGATAATGTTTTAGTTTTTTTTATTTTTTTGTTTTATTATTTTACTTTCCAATTATAGAGGTCTGTGTGTAGAAGTTTCAGTGAAAAGGAATTTGACCTATTTTGGAATAAGGCTTTAATATAGCGTAGCTCTGTTGGTTCCCAGTTTGTTGCTCCAGAATATGGATCAACATTTACCTTCTATCAAAGCTGGAGGCAACATGTCTTAGTTTGTTGTCTTAAAAAAAACAACCACAAAGCTCCTTTTGTTCTTATAACGACTTAAAACATTTAGGGCGTTTAGCTTAAGATAAGATAGCATCTGATTCAAGCTGAATGACTGCATGACTTCACTTACTGTCACATCATCCTACGATGTTGTGACAGATTCTTTCTTACTTACACTTACTTATTATTTTTGTTGCATTCCTACCACAAACTTCAATGTAATTTATTGGGATTTTAGTGCCTGATTTTAAAGTGAAAGGGAAATTATACATGGTTTTAACATGGCTGCATCTTTATGTTTCTTTAGCTCCCTTCAGTCGATGCTGTAAAAATCACCTTTTTGTTGCAGTTCCAGCTACAGACCTATCGGGGGATGTCTCTACCACGTTCAATGTCGAGCCACAGATTCCCAGATCTGGACTTTGACTGGGCCAGTCCAACACATGAACATGTTTTGATCTAAACTCCTAGAGTCAGGATTCTCACACAGCCTGGGACTTGATTTCTGAGTTTTCCAGGTTTGGATAACGATTGAAGTATAAAAGATTCTTTGTATTTTCAGTCTTTATTCTGTATCCCATTATGCTCGCATTGTGTCCTTCCTTCTGTCATCTGTCCTTCATTTCTATCATCATCCATGTTCTTTTTTAATGAACATGAAGAACTGAGAACTCTGAGAAGGTATGATGTTTTTACTGAAAAACATAGCTCCGTTTGCATGTTTAGGGTTTTTTGTCCCCTGTATGAATGGCTAAACATGTTTGGTTTCATAAGGTTAACATTTCAGATGATTTCAAGCTCAAAAATGTCACATTAAGGAACATGCAGGAAAAGCAGTTTCACATACATGAACCACCTTCTGGCTACTGACCGTCCTGCTGAGTCGAATTGGGTGTCACAGTTCTTATGACAATGAAAGTAACACAAGATTACTGATGCTTATCTTGTATCTAAAGAGTAAGCTGATGATCACTATTTTCAGGAGTGGCTTCTGGTATTTTTGTCTGTTTGGACTCATCAACACCTGTGTTCATAGTCTGGCTTCTACAGAAACAGTGTGCTGGACGGCCATGTCTTCAGTAGGTTTTCCACTCGTTTACCGGTGGACATTTTCTGCATGAATAATGCCCTGGGTGACTTCCTCTTTCTCCAACCAATTAAAATTCAGGAAATTACAAGAGATTCCAGGGTGGGATAAACCCAGAGTATTCCAAACAGGGGGCTGCTACCCGACACACAGTGCGTCACCTCCCTGCTGTTGTTTCCAGTTAGCACTGGGAGAACATTTTTCAAGATTATCTGTTTCATACTATACTGTCCAAGACTGGCATTTGTAAAGTATGTCAAAAAAATACATACTTTTTTTTTTTAAAGAAAAGTTATATACTACAGTTTTAGGTGAATTTGGAAGGCATTTGGTCGCAATGGATTTTATTTAGGGAGTTTAGAGAAATAGATGTTAAATATATTTTTTTAAGAGAAACACCTTACTTTTCTGACTTTAATACAAGAAAAGGTTGAAAAACATGAATCATTTTCTATTCCTTTTAAAATTAAGCCCTGCTTTTTTTGTGCGATGCTGCATATTTCGCCATCGATCCAATACACCGCCCATATCGCCGATACCAATACTGATACCGATACTTCTTTGTCAAGTTTGATAAAGAAGTTTTAGGTGTTTTAGGTGTTTTTAATCCCCCTTTTTTTCTTGGACAAGGTTTATAAGTATCTGAAAAGTACTTTAATAACATATTAACATGATTTGTGTTTGTTTTTATAAACAAAGCGTAAAAACAATTATATTTTGAGAGTAAATGAAAACTAAATCTTTTTTGAGGAAGAGTTGAGAAACTACAACAGCAAAAACAAAATATAATTTCAAAACGGAACAAAACATTAAGTATCAAAACGATACTGAAACCGACGTGGTATCGATATTCTGCTGTCACAAAATGTCCTAATAAAAACAGTGTTTGAGGTTGCAACGTGGCAAAACGTGACATTTATAACTTCTACCCACATGCAGATTATTACACTGATTTAAGGTTGACAGGAAAGTTTTTGTTCCTCTACAGGGATTTCTTGGTGATGTTTTGACGGAGCCACTTGAGTTTTTCCACTCAGATAAAATCTGGATAAACAAAGTCAGTCACAAAAACAGAGGCTGATGGTCCACTTAAGACATCCCAGTGACATCTGAAGTTAAAAAAGAGGTTGAACATTTTTATTCTTTCTAAATGGCAAAACATAGTTTTGGATTCAAACTTAAACAAAAAAAGTGGAATCCCAAAGTTTGGCTCCAGCAATTACATGTAAGGTGCTGAAAATAAGTAGAAAAGTGATTGTAGAACACAGGGGAAGATAATAAATGACCTTTTCACTGTTAGACATTTAACTTATTACTGCTGCAGAGAAAGGGGGAAAAAAACAATTTGTCCACTGGTCAAATCATTTTAGATACCAGACATGGGACTGAAGTTAATAGTCATGGCAGTAATTAGGTTTGGGAATAAATAAGTTTGGGGTTTGTTAGAAATGCCAGTTTAAATTGGGGAACAAAAATAACCTTAATCGTTTCTTGTTTTTTTCCCCCTAGTTGACTGAACATAATTATGGATTAAAAATTGGGAAAATCTGGAGATAATTACTTTTTGGAAGATGCAATTGAGAAAAAAAAAACATAGCATTGCCAAGATGAAAAGATGGGATTCTGGCAGAGGAGCAAAGCAGATCGGGATAGAACGAGTCTGAACGTTTCATCCTGCAAGCCGCTGAAATCAGGAAGTAGAACTTTAGTGAGAGTTTCCTTAAAGAGCATTAAATGTCAAAAAGGTTTTATATTTGAAATGAAACAGTTCAAATATTGCGCAAGTTTCATCTGAATGTGAGTTGATGTTATATCTGTGGATCATAGGCTACGATGCAAAAGCTTTGACTCATCTGTGACCTCAGCTGCATCAGTTCTGCTATTCATGCAAATCAAAACGGCGAAAATCTGCTGCTTTGCATGAGGAATCGGATCAAAGAGGGTCGATGGGAAAGTTGAAAAAACTCACATTGCCTTTTGGGTTTTACGAAGGTTTTTTTGTTTGTTTTTACTTCTTTTTTCTTCTACTGTACACTCAGGAAAACCTTTAGATTGTTTGCTTTATATTAAACCAGAATTATTGATGCATTCCCGTTACTTGCAGCGCTTTAAGTCAGTCGAGTAGTCTATAAATGACACGAAGTAAAACTACTAGGTCGAATATTTTGCACAAATGATGAGCGGGGATATACCGGTTTGGAGTTGCAGCCTATAGCGCCCTCTTTCGGGCAAATTTAAAAAACAAACCCTCCGGGGCAACAAACTGGAGGGTCAGTATTTATGCAAGTTTAAACAATCTGCAGCGTTTTGTTGCAGGCAAAATTAAATTTGTTAATTATTTGTACTCACTTATTTGCAGGTTCGTATTTTTTTTATTCTTTATGTTATGCAATATGTATCGTTAAATAAATTCAATACAAACATATTTTACATGAAAATGCAACCTTGCTTAATTTTGTATATCACTATTAAATAAGTAATTAGAACACTTCTGAAAATAGAGAAAGCATTTTCCACTAAAGGACTTCATCAAAGGAACACAATGGTATTCTGAAGTACTGGTGGATTTGTCCAGCAAATCAAAATTTAAATAATTATTTACAGAGTGACTGATGTTGTCCATGCAGTGTGATGGCAAGAAGAGAAAACTTTCAGACACTTGCACTGAAATAGTATATATTTTTTGCATCTTTTCAATTCCTTGAGACTAATACATGTGTGACAACACATTGCTAACATATTGAAACATTCAATCGTGATGCAAATAAGCATGTGAAACAGAATGAAAGCTGCAAAATACTTTTCAGAAACTAAAAATCCAAAAGGCGACTGTGGATTGTGGATAATTATGGATTGTTGTCAATTAATTTGGAGTTATAAACATTTCTGTATAGATTTGAGAATATTTCTTTCTCAAATGCATATAGAGCAGAAAAGCTATTTGAAAACTTTGAAAAGTTAAATATGAATTGTTGATGTATTGTTGTTGTTTTGTTGATTGACAGGTTGATTTTATTTAAATGGGAAAGTCCATCTTAATGAACATCTAGTGCTTCTGTCAATTCACCAGATTTAGCAAAAATGCTAATTTCTATCCGTAGTCCAATAAAACAAAAAACATAAAGAAAAAAAACTTATATATTATGACTTGCTGTACTAATAAACTCCCACTGGGACATGATTAAAAATCAGACAGTTTAATAAAAAAAAAAGACTGACGTTTTTTAAAGACCTTTATTTCTCATGATGCTTTTCTGCTAACAGCTGATGAAAACGACATTTAAAGTTAGAATATTACATCAAATAAATAAATAAAATTTTTTCAAAAACAGAAACGTGGGCTTAATGAAAGGGGCGTAAAGGTTGTTCAAAAGTAATTTGACAAACAAAACTCATTAGAATGTATATTCTAATTTATTAAAATTACTAAGGTTTTTTAAAATACCGTCCCGGGTTAGGTTGGAGATCTTGTGGCTGTTTGGATCCTCATAATCACCAAATTCCAAAACCTTAAACGAAGGCTTTAAATATTTAGCGGTTCTTTTTCAGAAAGTAATCTAATCTAGTTAAGATTTTATCTCCAGCGGTCGTAAAGGCACCAGAGAGGTTCTAAAGACAGGGACTGGAAGGAGATCAGGCCTGATCTCTGGGCTTCATCAAACTGAGACGCTTCAGCTATTCTAGACGCGAAGCTGCCAATCACGCGCTGATGAGGCTCGCGCATTCACATCAGATCCCGACACTAACAGCTGTTACATAACTAATCCGGGCGCGAGATACTGCGATTGAATGCGGGCGCGCGCATATAAACAACGTAAAGGTCAGCAGCTGCCACACACACACACACACACACACACGCACGCACGCAAGAGAAACACACACAGACAAGGCCCGAGGTGGATCCAGTTCAAGCACAAGAGTGCAAATGGCCTACTTAGAGTTTAAAGTGAGTAATTAGAAACCTAAGCGGGGCTAATTTCTTCCCCTCTGATGAACGTAATGAAATGCCGTGTGCTCCCGTGGTGAGTGGCACCGGGACCGGCCCAGTCTGATGGACACCAGAACAGCTGTGACCACACATCACCGAAGACCCAGACGAACTAGTCCAAGCTAAACGGGGTTCCTTGGTAAGCAATGTCTCTCGCCAACCTGCATTTAGTCTCCATGGTAACCAAACATCAATAAATGTGGATTCTGCTGGGAAAAAACACTTGAAGACTGATCAAAAATGAAAACAAGAATCTTGAAACATGTTGGTTTGAAATGGTGTGGACCTTGGACAGTTTCTTTTCTATCATGTGTGGAGAGACATTATTATTTCCATATGTCCACTTTGAATACATGTAGCAGAAAAATGGAAGGTTATTACATAAATCATCAGCATGAAAGTAACTGTGGACTTTCACTTTTTTCCAGGGTGAATAAAGTTGAATTTGTTCCAGAATTGTATTTAATTTACACTAGTTCAAAATTATATAGGCACTTTCACTAATATTTCATGATTTGGTTCAACCACTTTTCTTATCAGGCTCCAATATTTGTTTGTAAAATTTAATCCAGGAATAATAACAGTACACTTCTGAATGTGTATGTTATGTCATTTGTATTAGACCTCAATGGAAAACACAGTAAAAAGTTTAAAACTGAAACTCAACGGGTTAGCATTAGCACATCTGCTCGCTTATAGTTGGAGAATATTTGTAGACGGACATAAAACGGGTAAAATGGCAAACTTCGAATTTCCCACTTCACCTGAACGCAAAGTAGCTCCTTTGTTGAGTGTAGACCGTGAACACACCAGTCGGCCATTTTGAACAGCTGGCGTGGTGCTCGGTGTTTTTCTTTGCGCCGTCCATATGAAGGTGTTGGTTTACCAGCTCGGCCTTTGTAGCGCTCAACCGGGAGGCTTAGTGGTCTTTGTCAGATTTATATTTTAATTATCTGCTAAACTGCGGCTGAGGGCCGTGTGGGAAAGAGCCGCCGGCTGACCTCGGCAGCTGTCAGTCACTCAGTAAGGAGAGATCAAAGGTTGCAGACAGAAACACCAACGCTGCTCTATTATTTATGGTTGAAGTGCCATTCAACAGATAGGTAAAGCCAGCAAGATTCGATGAGGGGAGTTTTGTGCTAAAATAGGAGGACACAAACGACGCACTTTGTAGAAATTAATTTTCAAGCGACGTTTATGTGGACGCCAGTGCAAGCAGGTTTGTACTCTGGCGCCATCTGTTGGTAGCGAAATTAAGTCTTTTAAACCAAATTCACAAGTTTCTTAAAAATATATTGTTAAATTTTTTCCTTTCAATATCGTCACCTTCCTAAGGTAATAGCCAAAGTTATATTTTGCCAAAAAATTATTAAGGGGAAAAAAAAAAAAACTTGGTAAAATTGATTTATTATGTAGTTTATTTTGAAGCTAAATATATTAAGCAAAAAAAATCAATTTATTTTGTCACTGACTATTTTTCAGATTTAAATTAGTATATTTTTATGCACATGTCATCAGTTTTTTTCTATAAATGTAAATTATCAATTCAGTTAAGATGACTGCTTTTACCATGTTTGTAAATGTACTTGATAAAAAAAAAATCTAATTTCTAACATTGGAGCCTTCATGTTAGCAGTTGGCTTAGTAGGGTTTTTTTCCCCCTCAATTTTTCTTACTATTATTATTTTTAATTTTCTTTAGTTTTTCTCTGTTACTTCTTGAAAAACCAAAGTTGAAAATGAGAGGAAAACAAGCGATGACACTGCAGGTTGTAGGAAGCTCCCCTCCTGCTGCCTGTATATCTGTAGTGAATATTAAGAGTCAGCCTGATGATTTGTCCTTGTGTTTATCCTCCTCTGATACTTCCTCTCCATCCGTCACGCCCTCCCATGAAGAGGCTAATCTGATCCCAGTGGGGGCTCCTCCACCCCAATGAAGTACTGAAAGAAAAAGACACATACAGGAGATTTTGTCTCTGAGTCGATGCTGGACAGCCATCCTGTGTAATTCAAATATACAAAAAAAGTGTATTTTTGAAGATGCGTTCAGATATAGCTACAGCAAGCCATTAAAACAAAAGCAATAACTGTTAATGAATCACTAATCTGAACATTTTGTCCATTTTTTATAAACATACCACGAGAAGACATCTTTCTAGCCCCTAAAAAATGTCATTAGCATGTTGCTAATGACTTCCACAGTCCTCAGTTCTAAAAAAGAAAAGTGGTGGAGGAGAAATGAATGCTCCCTAACATGTCTCCCCAGTCTGCACGGTAACCAATTTGGCTGAATGTGTTGTAAAATTGCATGCTGTATGTATATTGCAGATCCACTGATTAATAAATGGGTCAGTTGTTCCTATACCTATTATTGTTGACTATCGTTTTCTGTTTGAATAATATCACTGGATTGAATATAGATATCGGCTGATACTCAAAGTTGCAATATTGGTATATCAGAAGTGAAGAAGTTGTATTGTGACAACCCTACTATGTTTCTGTCTGTCTTTTCAAGCATTTAATTTATACTGTGTGTTTTTATTTAAAAAGTGACAAAGTTGCTCATTGTATTGTCCATTTTTAACTTTAGAAAATGGACCAGATGATTCTTTTAATATTTCTTATTTTTACAAATTTACAACCAACAAGTTCATTGTCATCTGAGTTTGTGAATCCCAACAAACCTAAACAAGACTGACATAATGAGACATCGAGTAGGCAGAGACAGAGCAGCTTTTTCCCTTCACTCAACTAAAAAAGTGGAACAAAACAAAAAACTGAAATTGGAACGAGCTGCTCTGTTTCTGTGTTTTATGTCCCAGGGGAACGTAGAAATCATGGAAGCCCCCCTGTAATTTACTGTTCGGAGTTGCCTGGGCACACTTGACTCCCATGAGGACCTTCCACCAGTGTTTTTATAAGGTTGGGATTTGTAAAGCTGCTCTTGTTGACCCCCTGGAGGTCACGAGGGCAGAAAAGTGACATGACCCCCCAGGGGCCTCCCACCCACACACACACCCTGATCTCAGGTCTCAATATGAGATGAGTAAAAGTTCCCCACACACAAATTGTCTGTCTGTGTTTGAGTGATCTTTACAAAGTTTAATTTAAAAGTGACTCCTTGATATTATGATACAACAGAATAGAAACTTACAATTGGATAAAAATGGTACACTGCTTGTTGACTTTAAAAGTATTTTCTGAACACAATGAAGTTTATGGAAATGTGGAGACATCTGAAAGGTTCACAGATGTAAATATTTTCCCCAGATTCTGTAAATGAATGGTAATGTAAATGAAAAACAAAATTAGTTGGATTTTTTTAATGAGATTTTTTGCATCGACCTAGTCTGGCCACTGCCTTCCTACGGAATGGGATTTCAATGGGATTTCTCCCATTGAAATGGATTTCTACAGTACAATGTTAACCGAGCCAATCAGCTAACAGGAGAATGGAACAGAGGACGTTTGTTTATAGCGCAGGCAATTTTCGGTAAGCTTCATAGCGTTGAACTGGCATATTACATATGTCATGGGCAAACGCTAGCAATTGGGTGAAGTCTTAAACTTCAACAGAGTCCAGGCCTCTACAAAGCAATCGCTTTTCAACTGCTGATGGTCCAGACTCTGTCGAAACAAGGGACTAGGTTTTACCAGGCTAGCTATGACTCTAAAACTGTAATTTTCAATCTCTGGGCTGCTTGTATCAAATGTCAGTGTAGCCATTCTTAGTAAACCTTTAGTTATTCTGCCCAATCTGCACAAATGCATCTCATCTCCTGCAGACATCTCCTCTGTCCATCTGTGTCTTCAGGGCCCCCAGACGTGTCCCGGGAGCCGCTGTGTGTCTTAACCGATCACGGTCAACTACTGCCTGAGCCCAGAGAAAGGGAAGGTCAGGATTACATCAGGACTGTTTGCTCTTTGAGGCGCTCCGTAACCTTCAACCTGCCCTCCAAACTGACACACTGACTGCCACTATTGATGCACAAAAGAATAAAGACAACATGTCTAATCCGTCTTTTTTTAAGGATAGGAGCTTGTTCTTGAACTTTGCAAAGCTAGCATCAGAAAACATTTGGTCACATGAATGCTGGTCAGAGAAGTGTATGATTCCACATTACAGAATTCTTCACCAAGGGATACATTTTATGAACTACTATGTCCAGACTGACGGAGCGTGATAAGACAGTTTGTCAATGCAAAGACGATATGAAGCACTAGTTGCTAAAAGATACTGTTGCTGAGAAGGACATGTGTTTCGATTAAATAAGAAATTAAATTAGAATCACACATGAATAAGTTTGTTCATGTGATATGTAATTAAAAATTATGGCAGCGACGGTTGTAAACACTTCCATGAGATATATTAATATTTCAGACATGGTGCTAGCATTCATCAGCCGTCAGAGGAGACTTACTCAGGCGTTGGAGCAACACGCTTTGGAGAAAATGTAGTTAGTGATTTTACAGAAGAGTTATGGATTCAATACGTCTGAATGACAGATGACGTTTTATCAACAGTGTGATGCTGCGAGAGCTTTGGTGGAGCCAGCTGCACATTGTCTGAAAAAATCAAAAACAAACCATCGTCCTTCTACTTCCTGTTGTCTTTGTCGTGGTTTTTGCCAGTAGTAACATCTGGTTGTTAATAATGTGTGACTTGTGGGTTTCCACAGTCAATATGGCTGAAAAATCATCTCACCCGAGCGCAGAAATATTTCATCAAAACACACGAGTTTTTTCAAAATTGCTGTGTTTTCGTTAAGTGAATTTATTTTCGTAATTTCGATTTGCGCAATTCTGTGGTTGATGGAAACGCAGCCTGTGAATCTTTGAATATACTTAGATGATTTTTTAATTTCTTTTAATTGAGCGTTTGAATTAAATTGAACTTGAAACAAAGTCAGTGTTATTCCAATTTTTTTAAACTTAGATCATTAACAGAAAATATGTAAAGTCACAGAGAAAATGTAGCCTCAGTTCCACGTGAGGCTGTGAAGACGTGGTGGCCTGACCGGGGTCCAGTCAGGGGATTATCTCTGAAATGACCTGAACAGACATAAACAGCTTCAATCTGCCTCTAAGATGGACTCTAATCTGAATTTCAGCAGTGGCCAGTGTCAAAGCCAAAGGCGGCTGTCCGTTTGCATTCATTGACAGGATCTCTCAGGTTTATTTGTCGATATGACTCGAAAGGCTTCGGTAATCCCTCCTTCCCGTCTATAGACTGATTGATAATTGATCCCTGTTCAAACAGGCTTTCATTGGGCCACAGTTGCCTTTGAATGCCGAGAGAGTCTTTTCGCCTCATCTTGCCTCCGCGGCCTAATCCAATGAACGAATGGGAATGAGAGCGGCCACTCTGCCATTTATCTGGCAGTGTTTGCTGATGAGGAACCTCAGCATAATAAGGGTCACTCACTCACTGAGCCTCACAGCTTTTTATTAAGAACAAGAATTACAACTTTTGCTAGGACAAAAGTAAGAAACTCAATAAACCTAACCTAGCTACAGGTAACTGGAAAACCATTCGGTTTAAAAAATGTGTTTATTGTACTTAAATCTAATTCGAGAATCTATTTTTTATCTTAACTACGTTTTAGATAAAAATTACAAATTGCTTTTTAGATTCTTTTATTATTCTTTGGTTCATATTTTCCAATATTTGAGGTACATACTTTAAATATTCCTATTGTTAATTAGTAGCACACCAGATTCTGGAATTGTTCAGTCCTACCATTTGGCACTTGATAGAGAGCCGAAGGTTTGAGGTTTCGATGAGAAATCTCATTTTTACAAATTGAGATTTCTACTTGTCAACCCCAAAGAGCAAAATGGGATGTTTCCCACCAATCCCAACCTCCAAATCCAAAATAGTTGCCTCATTGATAAGAGAACTGCAGTAGAAGACAAAGCAAACAAAAATTGCATTTCTACAATTCAGATGGTTTCGGCTGCTGGTCATACAAGTTAAATCAAGGCAAGTTGATTTGTATAACTCATTTCAGCAACAAGGCAGTTCAAAGTGCTTTATATTGAAAAAATACAACAATAAAAAGTAATTTAAAAAAACACCATACAGAAACCAGTAGCAGACGGTACATTTTGTCAAGTGGCATCATAAAAATCATCAATATCCAGAAACATCCAATGACCAACTGGAACATTGCCCAATTTTTGTTGGTCAACTCTAAGCAATTATATTGACCAACTGTTTCTAAACTGGTGTGTTTTTAGCCTCGATTTCACTGTTAGTCATATTTATCTCCCACATACTTAATGCCAAAACATTTTACCTCAAGGCAACCCAAATATCACCAGCGGCAGTTGTGCCAAAGTTTGAGAGACACGGGTTTAGATATAATTTATTTCACTACTATACACCACTTAGCACTGATCTGATATAGTTAAGCCTAAAGTAGCACAGCAGACTGTAGAAATGACTATGAGAATCAAAGACAGACATGATCACCTGGAGACCAATTACACTTTAATGGAGAAAAAATTTAATATTGATGCAAATAAAGCAATCAATGTTCTCTATAGGCCCAAAATGTAATTCATATGCGCTGCTTAGCATTAGGGAGAGTTTTGAGGAACAATAACCTAATTGAAAACTGTAACTGAAGAACATGGAGACAAGCAATTCTAAGGGGAAAAAGGAACTACTCAATCACTAGGAGCTAAAGCCCTAACAGGCTCACAAAGGGAAAACATCCTTATATCCAGCATTACATGTATATTTATGCAGCGCAGAAGACTTATGGTAATAGTTTCTCTGTGCTCTCTGTTACCTTCACAATGAAGAGGATAGGTCAGCCAGCGATCGGCTCGGGCCCAGAGCAACACAATTTGATTTGTAAGGCATGACACGGGGAATGACATTTAACTTGTTATTATTTCCTGGAAAAGATTAATGATAAATTGTCTATTATTTTTCCTTAAAAGTGAAAGATAAGGCCACAGTCATTTGGCCTGGAGGCAGCCCGCCGCCACTATGCAAAACGACAGCCAATTATCAGAGCCTAGTTTGGGATAATGAGTTTACAATGAATCTTTTGATTGAAATGTAACTGGGTTGGCCCTGGGCAAAGTGCAAAACATAAAAAAAAATAATAATAATAAAAGGAGGGGAGAATAAAAAAGTTACAGACTCAAAGAGCACCATATGACTGTGTCTCCAGGTTTCTCTCTCTCTCTCTCACTCTCTCTCCATTTCCTCTCTAGAGATAGCTATAGTAGGAAGCCGGAGATATGTATATATTGATGAAAAAATTATTAAGTCGGCGAGCGCTCGCAGCAAACATAAATTAGCATATTCAGGGTAAATATGCAGACTATTTACGATAATAAGGCCGGATTATTCAATTCAATGAATGTTAAATAGATGAGGAAATGGGATGTGCCTTATCTGGACCGAGCTTCTATTCATTTTAATCGCTTTCCAATTGAACTCTTCGTTTTTATTCTCTCTCGGTTATTGTTCGCACTCCGGCCCCTGATGGCACCTATGGCTGCTGGGAGATTCCCCCCCTCCTACCTTACCCACCCCGGGTCACATGGTTTCACCGGCTTTCACCTTGTCCTCTGCAGCGACGGAGAAAGTCGACGTCACCCCGAGGCCAACATCATGATAAGCCCGTTTTCATTAAGCACACACTGGGGGCCGATGGAGAACAAGATTAGCGGGGCCTCACGCGCATCGAGAACGTAGAAGTCATCTAGATTAGACAAAGAGAGTCTTTTTTTATGGTGCTGGGTCCATAAGCAAAACACATTTGGTCTCTTATTGCGTGTATTAAACTTTAACTTGAAGCAATTCAGCTGTGTGTGTGTGTGTGTGTGTGTGTGTGTGTGTGTGTGTGTGTGTGTGTGTTTCTATCTTCACAAGGACTTTGATTTACTTCCAATCATTTTGTCATTCATTTATATCAATTAATCAATCAAGTTTATGGATCACTGCAGCTGTCTGATTAATTTTTTTTAGGCAGACCTGTAAAGATACTATTGCAGTAATCAGTCCGTCTAAAGATAAACGCTTGGATGAGTTTCTCTTGATCCTGGAAATCTTCTTCAGGTGATAGAAGGCCAACTTTCTAACTGTCTTTATGTGGTTCCATAGTCTAACCCTCCACCTAACCATTACCAGTACACGCCTGATCCTAAACTCAATTCACACCTTCATCCTAAACTTAACACCTAACCCAAAACAGCACTTCTTCTTGTGGGGCCTGGGCTTTGGCCCCAATAAGGAGCAGTGGATCCTCACAACGTAGCATTTGTTGATAAAATAGTCCTTCCAAGGGGAGGAATGAGAAAACACACATGTAGAATGGCTTTCCACGCTGCAAAACACAAGATCTTACCAGGAATTTCTGTCTAGTTTCTAGTGCAAATATCTCAGTAACTTAAATTAAGACAAGAATAGCTTAAAAGCAAGTTTTCAGCTATATAAATCAGCTTGTTCTAAGTCAGTAATTCTTCAACATATATGTCTACAAAAACTACTAGGTCCACTGACATATTTTTTTCACTTAATTCAGGAACAATTTCTTATTTGTGAAAAAAAAAATCTGTATTAAATGCTTCTGTTCCAGTCCAGATTTAAATTCTTTTGAAGAAGAATTTGGAACAAAACCCACAAACGTTTGTTCACATACTACCCCATTCAAAGAAGAATGGGCCTCACTTTCAGTCTCTGGATGTGCATATCAGTAATTCTGAAAGAAATATTTTTAACTTCTTTGAAATAAAATGTAAAATGAAAAAAGATTTATAATTTCCATCCAATCTCATAACTTTATACTACATTCTGTTTATCTCCTACACAAAGTCCTGATATGAGGTTTGTGTGTGTAACACTACAAAATGCAAAAACAACAACAAAAAATAGTACCTTGTCAATAACAAATCTGACAAGCACGTAATCATCCCCCAAAACACAGCTATATCTAAAGAATGGCCCCAAACTAAAACAATTCACTGTGTACTTCACTAAAAAAAAATGCATTAATGTCTCCATCTAGCGGTGAATGGCTGTTATTGCTTTCTGATTGTTTGAACAAAAGCTGTTCTTTCCAACTGATGGCTATTTCTTAAAAATATTTTTTCTAACATACAATAAAAAAAAGCGAATATCCTCTATCTTTAAGAGATAATGTGCCCCTAAAATAACTGGCTGATGTAATTACCATTTCTGACACAAAGAATGCATTTACCCTCTTCCGTCACAAGATGGCAGCCTCCTATTAAAGTTCTCTGACACAAGTTTGCTTCCCTCAGCCCCAGTTCATGTTAAAAGGCCTGGAAAAACCCACAAATTGAGTGTTCAGCTTCTGCCGGATGGTGTTAATAAGATCTAAGGTGGTTAAATATTAAGCTACAGTCTTTATTTTTCCCGAACTCACTGAAATCTATCAGACACACTACCGATCTGACAGGTGCTCTTAAGAAGTTGCGGCATCGCTGTTGGGACTTGACAGGCCACGACAACAACCAGCAGGAGCACAGCAGGTGGCAGCACCAAGCTAACCTTCAACACAAGAAGCAAACTTTTAAAGGCAGGAAGTGAAAAATTCTGAATGTCATAACATACACAGTACCTGCTAATGTCATATTCCTGAGCAGTCATTAGGGTATGTCTCAGCTTTTTATGTATTTATGATTAAAGCCTACATCCGCCACCCCGCTACTCCCCCCCTCCCTACCCACTTACACATTATAAAAAAGCCCGCCATTAATTATTTGCTGTTTTGCAGGAGGGGAGTCTGCCCTTTTGCTAAAGAGACTCATTTATCTCTTCGCGTGATGCCTGATTTCAAATGAACAAAACTGTGATGACGATAATTATGTTTCCTGCAGTCGCTTGCGAAGCTAATAAAGGGAAATTAAAACTGGTA